GTGATAAAGGAGGATATTGATATAACAGGCATCACAGAAACCTGGTGAAGTGACAACAATCAATGGGACAAAATCATTCCGGGATACAAAATATATTGGAAGGACAGAACAGGTTGTGCGGGGGGGGGGAAGGTGGCACTATATATGAAAGAAAATGTAGAATCAAATGAAGTAAAAATCTCAAATGAATCCACATGTTCCATAGAATCTCTATGGATAGTAATTCCATGCTCTAATAAGACTATAACATTAGGGATCTATTATCAACCACCTGACCAGGACAGTGATAGTGATCATGAAATGCTAAGGGAGATTAGAGCGGCTATCAAAATAAAGAACTCAATAATAGTGGGGGATTTCAATTATCCCCATATTGACTGGGAACATGTCACCTCAGGACGAAATGCAGAGACAAAATTTCTCGATGCTTTAAATGACTGCTTCTTGGAGCAGCTGGTACGGGAACCCACAAGGGGAGAGGCAACTCTAGATTTAGTCCTGAGTGGAGCGCACGAGCTGGTCGAAGAGGCAACTATAACAGGACCACTTGGAAATAGTTACCATAATATAATAACATTTAACATCCCTGTGGTGGGAAGAACATCTCAACAGCCCAACACTGTGGCATTTAATTTCAGAAAGGGGAACGATGCAAAAATGAGGGGGTTAGTTAAACATGCATTAAAAGGTACAGTGACTAGAGTGAAATCCCTGCAAGCTGCATGGACACTTTTCAAAGACACCATAATAGAAGCCCAACTTCAATGTAGACCCCAAATTAAAAAAACCAGTAAAAGAACTAAAAAAGAGCCACCGTGGCTTAACAACCATGTAAAAGAAGCAGTGAGAGATAAAAAGGCATCTTTTAAAAAGTGGAAGTCAAATCCCAGTGAAGTAAATAGAAAGGAGCATAAACACTGCCAAATTAAGTGTAAAAAATATAATAAGAAAAGCCAAAAAGGAGCTTGAAGAACAGGTAGCCAAAAACTCCAAAGGTAATAACAAAATGTTTTTTAAGTACATCAGAAGCTGGAAGCCTGCTAAACAACCAGTGGGGCCCCTGGACGATCGAGATACAAAAGGAGCACTTAAAAATGATAAAGTCATTGTGGAGAAACTAAATGGATTCTTTGCTTCAGTCTTCATGGCTGAGGATGTTAGGGAGATTCCCAAACCTGTCGTCCTTTGTAGGTGACAAATCTGAGGAATTGTCACAGATTGAAGTGTCACTAGAGGAGGTTTTGGAATTAATTGATAAACGTAACAGTAACAAGTCATGGGGACTCGATGACATTCACCCAAGAGTTCTGAAAGAACTCAAATGTGAAATTGCGGAACTATTGACTATGGTTTGTAACCTGTCCTTTAAATCGGCTTCTGTACCCAATGACTGGAAGATAGCGAATGTAACGCCAATATTTAAAAAAGGCTATAGAGGTGATCCCGGCAATTACAGACAAGTCTAACATCAGTACCGGGCAAATTAGTTGAAACAATAGTAAAGAATAAAATTGTCAGACACTTAGAAGAACATAAATAGCTGGGCAAAAGTCAACATGGTTTCTGTAAAGGGAAATCATGTTTTACTAATCTATTAAAGTTCTTTGAAGGGATTAACAAACATGTGGACAAGGGGGAACCAGTGGACATAGTGTACTTAGGTTTCCAGAAAGCCTTTGACAAAATCCCACACCAAAGGCTCTTACGAAAATTAAGTTGTCATGGGATAAGAGGGAAAATCCTTTCATGCATTGAGAACTGGTTAAAAGACAGGGAACAAAGGGTAAGAATAAATGGTAAATTTTCAGAAAGGAGAGGGGTAACTCGTAGTGTTCCCCTAGGACCAATCCTATTCAATTTATTCATAAATGATCTGGAGAAAGGGGTAAACAGTGAGGTGGCAAAGTTTGCAGATGATACAAAACTACTCAAGATAGTTAAGATCAAAGCAGACTGTGAAGAACTTTAAAAAGATCTCACAAAACTAAGTGATTGGGCAACAAAATGGCAAATGAAATTTTATGTGGATAAATGTAAAGTAATGCACATTAGAAAAAATAACCCCAACTATACATACAATATGATGGGGGCTAATTTAGCTACAACGAATCAGGAAAGAGATCTTGGAATCATCGTGGATAGTTCTCTGAAGACGTCCACGCAGTGTGCAGTGGCAGTCAAAAAAGCAAACAGGATGTTAGGAATCGTTAAAAAAGGGATAGAGAATAAAAAAGAGAATATCTTGTTGCCTTTATATAAATCCATGGTATGCCCACATCTTGAATACTGCGTACAGATGTGGTCTCCTCATCTCAAAAAAGATATACTGGCATTAGAAAAGGTTCAGAAAAGGGCAACTAAAATAATTAGGGGTTTGAATCGGGTTCCATAAGAGGAGAGATTAAAGAGGCTAGGAATTTTCAGCTTGGACAAGAGGAGACTAAGGGGGGATATGATAGAGGTATATAAAATCATGAGTGGTGTGGAGAACGTAAATAAGGAAAAGTTCTTTACTTGTTCCCATAATATAAGAACTAGGGGCCACCAAATGAAATTAATGGGCAGCAGGTTTAAAATCAATAAAAGGAAGTTCTTCTTCACACAGCACACAGTCAACCTGTGGAACTCCTTGCCTGAAGAGGTTGTGAAGACTAGGACTATAACAGGGTTAAAAGAGAACTAGATAAATTCATGGAGGTTAAGTCCATTAATGGATATTAGCCAGGATGGGTAAGGAATGGTGTCCCTAGCCTCTGTTTGTCAAAGGGTGGAGATGGATGGCAGGAGAGAGATCACTTGATCATTACCTGTTAGGTTCACTCCCTCTGGAGCACCTGCATTGGCCCCTGTCAGTAGACAGGATACTGGGCTGGATGAATCTTTGGTCTGATCCAGTACCGCCATTCTTATGTTCTTATGTTCAAGATGCAGGATTTGTTGTGTCTATTTTCTGCCCAAACTATTTTTTTTTGTTTTTACATAGTATCAGTTGTTTTTACTAAATCAAATATTTTAAAAACCCCACATTTGCTTCTTGCTGAAAGGTTAGATTTCTAGGCAAGAGGAGGTGGACAGTGGGTAGTGGGGTGTCCTGGATGCAGAGACAGAGTGTGAGACACCCTGAAATCTAAGTAAAATTCCCAAATAATCTTCTTGCTTTTAGTTTCCCAAAAGGAGCTGGCTATTCCCGTCTTTGTTTAAAAAAAAAAGTTAATGAATGATTGTCTCCCCACCATTTTTTTTAAATAATGGAAATTCTGAAAGTGATTCTTCTCCCGCCCGCCTTCATTTTGAAGTGGAGTTTTTGTGTGGTTTGGGACATTTTGGGAGGTGAGTTAGTGGAGTAGCAAAATCCGCACCCAAAGATTCCCCCCAATGGAAATGTCTGGTGACAGAGAGCAATTCCCCAGGAGGAGAAAAGTAGGAGTGAAACAACGACGACAACAAAAAAGCCATCAAAACACCAGAGGAAGAAGAGACCAGTAACAAGCCAAAAGATTTTTTTTTAAGGGAGGATATTGCAAGAGTCTATTTTAGTGGACAGACATGGAGTAAGGACTCCTGGACTGCATCCCAGACTCTGCCACTGAATTGTTCGGGGAGATTGGATAACTCATGTCATCGCCCCGTGACTCAGTTTCCACTCCAAACAGTTCTCTGTTAAAATGTGAGCTCGCTCTGGCCAGGCCTGTTTCTCCCTGTGGCTCTGTGCAGCGCCTGGCACGACGGGGCCCCTGAACTTGGTCAGGGTCTGTGCAACACCCAGCGTGACGGGGGCACCTGACCTCTGACAAGAGGACCCACAAATAATTTCAAACTGCTCTATCTGGACTGGATGAGGGGAGGGGATGTGACAGCTGGGAGGGGGGATATTGGACAGTGATGAGGGGCAAAATCAGAGCCAGTGGGCCATCTTGGGGGTTTACCTCATTTCCTTACCTGTGTCTTCGGGGGATGCAGCGTTTCAGAGTCGACCCCAGTCCCAGGTTCCCCAATGCGATGCCTGCAGCTCACCCAGAGTGGCTCAGCCCAGAGCAGGAAGCCGTTCATGTGGGGGTATATCTGATGGGGGGGACAATGTGGGGAGATCACAGGACGTGGCTGGGTCCGATCATTTCTGCAAAGCCTCGAAGGTCTTCGTCAACCACAGCTATATGCAGACATCACACAAACCACAAGCTCCCCCCACCTCGCTGGGCCCTAGCAAGGTGTCTGCATTTGGCTGTCCACATCCGGCGGCAGGCGGGCAGGGCCCCCAGTGAAGAGCAGGGGCTGAGACAGCCTCGTCAAGCCAGCTCCACCGGGTGAGGTCCCAGGA